TAGAAGATTTCACTTCCGTTTGGTAAAGGTACCAATTTCTTCACACCTTTTCATCCAAAGCTTTAACCGAACTAATCAATGCCTGAGAGAAAATCTAAAGGGAGAATACTTCACACTAATGAGTCCTAAACTGGTTTTGTTATCTCAAGGTAGTTCTAATTTACTTTGATAAAATTTAGGAAACTTGTCCTATATAAATTCAATTTCCTTTCTAGAAAAAGTGAAACAAATACAAACACAGATAGGTGTGCACAAATGCATTAAGCGTTCCTACTTGGAAATATTTCAGGTAGCTTTTCATCCTATGCTTTACTCTGGCCCTTTTGCTTACCTCTACCATAGCTATTTGTCCTATTAAATTGTTTATGTTCAAAAATCTCTCTCCTTATAGGCAAAAATGATTTCCTTTACCTCTTTTACATCTATCATGGTGCTGGACATAAAATAATAATTCAAAGTAATAATTCGAATTAACTGACAAAAGGAAATATAAATGTTTACAAAATAGAGTGCTGTAATCCCCAAAAGGCTAGAAATCTGCTCATCTAAACAATGTCATTAAATTTTTTAGGCTTCTAGAAAATGTTTTACTAGCTTTGAAAATTTAAAAGGTACCATAAACTTTCCTTTCTTCCTGTCAACTTCAAGTGATTTCTTCTACACAGATATCAAACTATATCACATTTTATTTTTCATTAAGAAAATGTTTACTGAACACCTACTTTGTGCTCGGTATGTTGCTTAGTGGAAAGGTTATGCTAACGAGTTCAGACATAATACCCCCAAAGATCTAAAACATATAGCATTTGAAGCAACTGTGCATTTCTGAGGTGATTCTTTTTTATTTTCAAATAAGAAAATACAGAGAACAGTAAATAATGTAACAAACAGTTGTATATCCACCTATGTTTATATGTCTGATTTTCCTATTAGACTGTTAGTTCTTTGAGGTCACTGATGCTTTGTCTTGCATCTTGTGTGCTTAACACAGAACTTGGCACATACGGGGCAATAAATGTTTGTTGAAAAAATGATTCTGCAAAAAATATGGCACAGCTTGAAGGTTTAGTTTTACTTAATATCATGTCCTTTTTCTTACATTTCCTTCAAAGCCTCTAAAATAATCATGGAACTAAACTCTTCTGTTACAATGTGACATTCCCAATTACCTTCTATAGATACTCACTTTTTTATTTCACTCAAAAAATATTCGTTGACTACTCTACTCAAACTGCTTCTTTGCACTTGGTTGTCTGGCTCTACAGGGTCTGTTGGTCCTTGTATTGTCTCATTATATTGCACTGAAGGGAAGTACTGCAGAAGGGAATGTGTGTTAAGTAAGGGCTCTCTAGAATAACATGCTTTCCCCCATCAACAGAGATTTAACAAAGTTAAGGTTAAAGCAGAAGGAAGACAAGACCTTTTAAATTCACTTTTCTAGAACTAACTTCAGATCCTGCTAAAGAAATCATCTGACCTTCTTAAACACATTACCATTAGGAAGGAAGAAAAAAAGGAAGGGAAGGGAGGGAGGAAAACAAGACTGACACCACATGTAGAAATTAGCTACATTTTCTACTGAATGGAAAACAATCTCCAAATTAACCTGCTGCTGGCATCACCAAGCAGGCAGGAGTTTAACACTGAGGCATGGACCTAAAAATGAACCAATGGCACTAATTTGCTAAACCTCAAGAAAAACCTAGTCATTAATTTTCTGTTTATGGTGAATTGTAAATGAATAGTAAAAAAATACCGACTAAAACAGTTAAAACCAAAACCAAACATCTGGATTTTCTGTAATGGTTGAGCTATAAAATAGGTAATGATTTTAAAAAGTGAAATGCCCAGGGTTTGAAAAGATATAAACGTGCACTATGCTTCTGAAAGTCAATTTGGCAATGCATGTCAATAAACCTTAAAGTTTTGAAAAACCCTTTGACCTAACAATTATAGGAATTTATCTACAAAGATTTTTACAACATTGTATTACTATTTGAAATAGCAAAGAACTGCAAATAATTTAAATGCTTATATATAGGGGATTTGTTAAAGGATGATAAATCCTTAAGGAGAGTACCTTACGAAGAGAGTAACATGCTTCATAAGAATTTACCATCCTTTAACTATAAAAGAAGAAAGCAGTTGTCAAAATTTTTTTGGTTGCAGAACTTTTTATCCACGCTATAAAATCCAGTTATAACCTAAATTTAATAGCAACAATCAAATGTGCTCTTTTTAAGTGAGGCTGGGGAACATGGAAGCCCTGCCCACTCATCCACCAGGGCTACTCCTAGGAACTTTAGGGCTTCAAGGAACACATTTTGAAAACCACTACTCTATCAGAACATATGTTGTGAAAAGAAATCAAGATTTTAAATGACTCAAATTTTGTAAAAAAATGTATACGTTTTTATATTTACATATTATACAATGGAGAATGGTTAGAAAGATATACATAAAAATGCAACTAGTGCTTATCTTTGAGTGGTAGATAATTTGTATTTGCGTATTGCTTGTATGCTCTTTTCCCCATGGATTTTCTATAATTAGCATGTATTATTTTTGTAAAAAGAAAAAATAACATTACTTTTAAAGTTAAATTTTAAAGTTGGATTTTTTTCTGTGTAATACGTTTTCCATATCCCTTTATTTCAACTGGCATTTTAAAGCATTAACAAATCTTTAAGTATATGCTCAACTGGAGAAAGATCTTTTTCATTTGACAATCAAGGAGATATTAAAACCCAGGTAAATGGACTCTGCACTCTTATTATAGATTTTCTTTTTATTTTATTGATTTTCTTTATGGTAGGCTGTAGGTATCTCACTAAAAATACTTTATGCTGATTTCTGCATCTTTTCACATGCTGTCCAATTTCTGGGAAATGTTCATCCCCTATTCTTCAAATGGCTGAATCATACTGTCTTCAGATCTCAGGAAATATTTTCAGAGGTCTGTGACTGTACTGAGTATTCTCAATCATTCTACTGTTTCTCTCCTAGCATTTATACAATTTAAATTATATATTTGTTCACTTATTTATTACCTGTTTCACCAACAAAAACTGGAATTTCATGAAGGCAGAGACACCTAGTATTGTCAATATATTACACAACACTTAGCCTAACACCTAGCAATTGTCTATAAACATTTGCTGATGGACTGAATGATTGACTAAATGTTTGCTAAAATTTGAATTTAGGGACTCAAGTGGCTTAAAATCGCTTTTCCCACACTCTTGCCTAGATGGATTGGCAAGATGCTGTTTTCAATACTGTCTAAATTTCTGATACTATATAATAAGCCCAAGTCACATTAATGGGGTACATTTTATAATGGCTATATCATCTGATCCACAACTCAAAAGAGGCACTAGGTCTGCCGAGATGTCTGCTGCAGGACTACTGATCCTCTCTGACATACCTTTTGGAGAATAAACATTCTATAACACAGAATGTGTATTTGCCACTTCAACATTTTCTAAAGCTTCTTCCAGCCTCACTCAGGAGGGCTAATCTCAATTTACTGATATTTATTACATGCCATCCCATACACACTAGTATACTGATGTGCAGCCACTGAATTATAAACCCTTTTTATCAGGAATCTGAACAGTGTGAGCTACTATTTTTGGCACAATTTAAATAACAGGGACTCTAACAATGGCAAACCAACAGCCTCAGAAGAGCTCTTGCAACTAAATGGAAAATTTAAAAACACCAAAACAAACAGTGTAAGAAAAATAACCATAGAAGGTACCAAATAAGCATAGAGACATAACATTTTAAATATTTCCAAATATTTGGTTTCGGAGCATGTGGGCTTTCCACACTTTTTTCTGCCAAGTCCCAGGAAAAACTGACCATACTATGATCATCTAAAATAGCTGTTAGGACTGATCTTCAAATATTTGGTTTCAAAATATAGACCTATTTGCACTTTAAAACTCAGATGCCTGCATACTACCACTATAGCACTGCACTGAGATAATACTTTCAAAGAACGTTGCTGGCAAAAAGATATCTTTATTCATGGTAAGAACTGCTTCAAATGGACACAGCAAAATGTTAACCTAAGTCCTAAAGTCAATTGTCAGAAAAGATCATTTGCTCTGGCACCAAAATGCTTTTTTTCTTTTCTTTCTTCTTTTTTAAAGACAGAGGCTTAATTTCACCAGTTATTTAAGGTTAAGGAGAGAGGGTAAATGCGAAATGTTAAGATTCTAGAAGCAAGGAAAAAACGTTTATATCCGCTTCACTTGAAATTGTTGACTTCCTTAAACTAAGTTTCTTATTTAACATATTGTTCTTGTGGGTACTCAAATATAAACTATCAAATCTGCCTCATTTTGGGTTGCTGGACAGTCCAAACCACAGAAAAGGATCTTAGTCTAGAAATAAGTCAAGTGGTTTAAAATAACCGTTCCCATACTCTCGTGTAGTTATGCTTCTTTCCTAGGACTGTACAAGCATGGATATCTAGTTGTAGTCCTCCACTTCTGATTGTTATCTAACACTATAAAGTAACACTCTAGGAGACTGGGATGATACGTGATACAGCCTCTTTTACTCTTCTGAGCAGACATTAATTCTGATTGATCAATTTCAACTGGCTTGATTTGTCTTAACTTTTAAAACTGCAGCCAGTGAAAATGCCTATACCTTTTTAAAGATTATTTTGTTTTCCTTAAAATCTTATAATTTAAACCTTGTTCCTGAAAGAGGCACTCTTTAAAAAAAAAAGACACATGATAGTACAACTCAGAAAAGGAACTAAATTTGGCTTCTTAAAAACAGTGGTCCATCTTCACCCTTATTCTTCTGATAAGTGGAAAGAGTAAGACTTATAATGGCTAAGAAATTAATCCTGAGTCATACAACTGGGGAACTCAAAATTTTTTCCATTTCCCAACTTAGCATTCCTCCCTTTAAGGCAGCTCTAAGGGTGCCCCAGACGCATTAAATCCCACAGTAAATAAAACCCTTCTTAACCTTACCTCTTTATGCACCTTCCAACTGTCTACCGTCACATTGAAGAGAGCTTTGAGGGCCTCAATGGCACAGTCTGTCTCCTGAGGTGAGAGAGGAGGTCCATTATGGTCTATGGCCGATTCATACTCATCGGTCCACTTGATGCTAAAGGCACTTTCCAAGATCTGGGTTAGCAGCGGTAGTCCCTGGAGCTCATAGCGCAATTGTGACCTGATGTCAGTGTGCAAAAGTGACAGGACGAAGAGCAAGCGCAAGTCAAAGCACTTAATGTCATTGATAAACTTTCGGTCCTTGCACTTTCTCAGGAGGTTACAGAGCTTTGCAGCAAGGTTAAGTTCCAGGCTGAGCTGCTGTGCCATCTGACTATTGAACACTATGTTACACAGACATTTTAATGACTCCACAATAACTGGGAACTCTGACACCTTCTCCAAAGAATCATCCAACTCATTCAGCTTCGCTAGTCGCAGCAGTATCTGCATATTTTCCTTGGTTGTTACAGGAACTAAAATCTTTTTGTCTCTGGAGAGAATGCGGAGAACTTCCAGGCAGGACACTTGACATGTTGTTGGGACGTCCTTTACAAGGACTTTAAATATCCCTTCGCAGAGTTTCTGGAAAACAAGATTGAGAATGCAAAAATCATTATTTGGCTTTAAACAGACTGTTTCTCTACCAATGCATTTAATAGCAGTTTAAGATCTGGCTAGAAAGGCTTTTATTATTTTTAAATAAAAAAATGTTAGAACTGAAAGAGACCTTATATTTGGTACACTTCTTTCACTTTACAGATATAGAAATTGAGGACTAGAGAGGTTAAGTTGCTTATACTCAGTCAGAGTGAATTAGTGGGGTAGTAAGAGCTAGAGTATGGATTTCCTAACTTCCAGCCAATATTCTTTCTATAAAATCACTTATTCTCTTTTAAGTTGACTAGTTTTAAATTTCTCAAATAGCTTTGTTCTCAATGGAGTTTTAATTTCAGACTACATATAGGTAATATCAGCATGTAAGGCAATCAGTCTGAATCATAGCTGTTCCTTTCCCAAAAGTAAAGATTTATGCCTCGAGATTTGGTTCACAACTGCTCACAAGTAGAGGTTCTCGTAAAAGACTTTAAAAAATACGCATTTCTGCCGAATGTTAGCTGTGATATTTCTTCTAAATTTAGAGTTCTATGTCAGTAGTCCCATGTTTTATAAACCTTAGGACTTTCTTTAGCTAACACGTAATAACATTTAATCACTGAGTGACACCACAAAGATCTTCTGCAGGTAAAACTGCTAAAATATTCTAAGTTTGGTTCCAAAGAGGACTTAACTAATATATATGATGCCTTTGAGCCAAACACAAAAAGGCACCTCTCTCCGGGCCAAATAACTGCAAAAGCGTGTCCCTACTGGATGGACAAACTTTTCAAAAAGCCCTCTTCCTCTGGTAGCCCTGTGCCAGCACATATGGCTTGGGAAGCTCAGAGTGTGGGAAGATCTTAGTTCTCCTTTGTTCTCTCAGTGCAGAACACAGATTACACATATATATGTAGTAGTCCTGGTTCCAAACCTTGCCACTACTATGTCAGAAACAATTCTTTTAAGATGAACCCAGAATATACCCTCTCTTGAATTTTTTTAAAAAATCTTTATTTCTATCATTGGCAAATATAAGAACCACTGATCATTCTCTCAAAATTCAATATCCAGCTTTCTTCTCCATAAAGTGCAGGTCTGGGTCTCGCAGGTATAACCACTTCTTCCCTATTTCTGTACCCGTTATATATACACATATATTTTGTTAATCCTCACCCAAGGATATTTTTCCATTGGCTTTTAGAGAGAGTGGAAGGGAGGGAGACACGCAGAGAGAAACATCGATGTGAGAGAGAGACATTGATTGGTTGCCTCCTGCAAGCCCCGAGTGGTGTGCAGAAAGAGCCTGCAACCCAGGTACATGCCCTTGACTGGAATCAAACCCATAACCCTTCAGTCTGCAGGCAGACTCTCTATCCACTGAGCCAAACCAGCTAGAGCAGTACCTACTGCATTTTATAAAAAGAACACCAATAACAACTATGACCAATATAAGATTTTACAAAGTTTTTATTAACCTATCATCAGATTTTAACTCTTTAAATAAAAAGGGTTCTCGCCGAAACCGGTTTGGCTCAGTGGATAGAGCGTCAGCCTGCGGACTGAAGGGTCCCGGGTTCGATTCCGATCAAGGGCATGTACCTGGGTTGCGGGCACATCCCCAGTAGGAGATGTGCAGGAGGCAGCTGATCGATGTTTCTCTCTCATCGATGTTTCTAACTCTCTATCTCTCTCCCTTCCTCTCTGTAAAAAATCAATAAAATATATTAAAAAAATAAAAAATAAAATAAAATAAAAAGGGTTCTCTACAGGCCAAGCATTGTGATTTTGGCAGGAATCCCAGGCTATGTGCACCTTCTCAGTAGATCCTAGTCATACAGCTCAGCTATGGAAATGAAGCCATTTCCCCTGCTGCTCCTTCAGCATGGCATGCCCTGCCACCATGTCTGCCAGTCAGTACTCCACTCTTTTTCTAAGGCTTAGTTCGAACTCTGAGAGGTCTATACGCCTCCCCCGCCATTTCCTCCTCTGCTTTCTTTCTGTTTGTGCCTGCAACAGCACTTAGTTTTTTTTGGCCTTTTTTTAGAATGAGCTGTTGAGGCTTCTTACTCCTTCTCCAGACCCCTTGAGAACAGAGGCTCTGTTTCGTCATATCCCAGTGGCTAGTCCAGGTGTGCTAAAACTATTTTTAAGTGCAAGAAAACCACAAACTCCCAAAGTTACCTGCCTTGAAGTCTACCACCTGACTCTCCAGCACTTTCCAAAGAATGACTCCTTTGTATTCCTCCTTCACCAGCCACCACTCACTATCAAATCATCCTTTGTTTGCAAGTACAGCAGATCATCATATTTTAGGTAAAAATATTTTTATTTACTTTCAAAGTATTCGTTTCTGAATTTGTTTTCATTGTTCAACTAATATATTTTTTAATCTAAAAATTACTTTGGTATTGCAGATAATCATGAAACATATACTTTTTCCCATTAAAATCAATAAAAATATTTTGATATTAATAAATTTTCACTTAGAGGTCAGGTTTTCAGGAATTAAGTCATAAATCAAAGATTAGGTATGCTTACAAAGTATAATTAATAAAAAATCAAAGAGACTGAGAAAAGGCCCTTTAAATATGCTCATTAACTTAGTAAGCCATGGCTATTTCTATAAAGTTAGAGTGCAAGACTGAGCAGCCTAGACTCAAGCGTAAGGTACCAAATTGTTGGTGGACAACTATCAGTTTTCATCACAATGCCTAATAATTAAACTAAGTCTTAGATAAATATATTAATGAGGCTTTATATTATTTTCTCATTACTCTGAAATCTGAGTTAGTTTTACTACTTTGGTGATATAGCTGAAGAAAACTTATACAGGATAAAATGCATTCTCTAGAACAGTTCTTCTCAAACTATTTGTGACAAAGACCACATTTTTGTTCCTTTTTTGTTGTTTATTTTCCCATAATTTGCAGTAGAACAGTACTTTCGTAAAATACAATAAAAGTGAATCATTAAAATAAATAATCACATCTTTGGATATCACAGCAACATTAAGTTACTATAAAGCTTTGCTACTAGACCACATAGAAACAGGAATATGAGTTGAGACCGGTATAACAAATTTAGAGTATGAATTTAGAAACCATTAGGACAAAATAAGTAAATGAACAACAAAAAGAAACAAAAATGTGGTCCTTTGTCACAAATAGTTTGAGAAGAACTAGAGAATGCACTTTATCCTGTATAAATTTTCTTCAACTATATAACCAAAGTAGTAAAACTAACTCAGATCTCCGAATGAGAAAATAATCTAAAGTCACATAAATATACTTATCTATAAGACTTAGTTTATTTGTTAGGCATTGTGATGAAAACTGGTAGTTGTCCACCAAAATCCATTCTCTTCTTACATAGTAAGAGAACTGTGGCAAGGCCCTTGACTGCCTAGCTACACCACATTCCTCAGCTGTTCTCCATGGTGATGACTGAGTTCTTGCCAATAATATGTGTGTGGACACACTGTATGCCATTTTCAGGTTTGCGTTTTCAAGATAGTGGGTACATCTCCACTTTCCTGTCCCCTTTTGTAACCCAGAACTTGGAAATGGCAGCCCAATACAGGTTAGGACAATGCTCAGATGGTAAAGTATGACTTGACAATTTGGAAAGAAACTGGGCCACTGAATAAATTTATGGAGGAGGAGGTGGAGGGATTCGATACGTAGTTTTGAAGAAAAATGAAAAGTACTTGCTACATGTTGGGGAGAGGGAGGTTTCTGGCTTAAGCAGAAGGGGATGATGACTGGAGGAAGAATAGATGTTGGGGAAAATTCTGTATGAATACATTACATTTGTGATGCCTAGAGAGATGTCAAGTAGGAAGCAAAATGTATGTAGCGAGGGCCCTAAGCGACCATCAGCGCTATGCCTGATGATATATATGAGTATAGGCATTTTGAGCTATAAGGATGGATGAGGTTACCTAGAGAAAAATATACAGAAAAAAATGAGGACCAAGAGCCCAGAAAAATGCTAACACTTAGAGGCTGGGGGAAGAGGAGCTGGTAAAGAAGATTAAGAGGTATAAGCTAGAGAAGCAAGAGGAAATCTAGGAGTGTGATGTTTTGGAAGACAATGTAGCAGGATACAAAATTAACGCCAAGAAATCTATGGCATTTTTATACACCAATAGTGAACTTACAGAAAGAGAGATTTAAAAAACAATCCCATTTACCATCGCACCAAAAAAAGTAAGACACCTAGGAATAAACTTAACTAAGGAGGTAAAAGACCTGTACTTGGAAAACTACAGGACACTGGAAAAAGAGATAGAGGAAGACATAAACAGATGGAAGAACATACCATGTTCATGGATTCAACATCATTAAAATGTCCATACCACCCAAGCAATCTATAGATTCAATGCACTCCCCATTAAAATACCAACAGCATATTTCACAGACCTAGAATAAACTCTCCAAAAATTCATCTGGAATAAAAAAAAGACCCCGAATAGCTGCAGCAATCCTGAGAAAGAAGAACAAAGTAGGAGGGATCTCAATACCAGATATCAAGCTGTTATTACAAAGCCACTGTTCTCAAAACTGCCTGGTACTGGCACAAGAACAGACATACAGACCAATGGGATAGAATAGAGAATCCAGAAATTGACCCAAACCACTATGCTCAATTAATATTTGAAAAAGGAGGCAAGAGCATACAATGGAGTCAAGACAGTCTCTTCAATAAATGGTGTTGGGAAAATTGGACAGATATATGCAAGAAAATGAAACTAGACCACCAACTTACACCATACACAAAAATAAACTCAAAATGGATAAAGGACTTAAATGTAAGATGGGGAACCATAAAAATCTTAGAGGAATCCACAGGCAGCAAAATATCAGACATATGCCGAAGCAATATCTTCACCAATACAGCTCCTAGGGCAATGGAAACTAAAGAGAAAATAAACAAATGGGACTACATCAAAATAAAAAGCTTCTGCACAGCAAAAGAAACCATCA